TCATCCGATAACAATAGACTGACCAACTGACATGATGTTTTCATTAAATTCTATTTATATGCTCGCAATCGCAGAAAATGTGGGCGAAAACTCATTCTTCAACGGCGATAAGAAATTTATTTAGCACATACATACAAATATATAATATATGACGACGTTGTATGCATATATATATTATTGTCTGCGGTTGTCCAATAAAATTTTATATAGACTTTTAAGTGCAGCATTAGAACGCTTAAGTCCGGGATCAACCTTCTCTCCTATGAAATCTTATACGTGGAAACTTAATATATTAGATCTTAATTTCTTTAAATATCGTTTGGACTTGTTTTTGTGACTCGATTTGGACTATTACAATGGAGCATATTTTTAAGTTATTCCATTTCTGGAATATTTCCTTTGCATTAAGGTTAAGTCACACATGAGAGATGCCAAGAAATTTGTACTAGGAGTTAGTGGTATTTTTAAAAAGATCAGGAAGAGTATGTAAACTGGAGACATTTACGAGACTTTCTTCACGCCATACTACAAAGTTGCATTCAAGAGTTATTAAATAATTATATGAATCGTTTAACATTCTTCCAAAGCATTCAGTTTGACCTTTTAATGTAAATATCCTTGTAATTTTTATAGGAAACATGAACAGATGGACTGATATCAAGACCAACATTTTTTTAATCGACTTTATTGCTCAACAAATTTTCATCCAGGGCAATGTATCGATTATATCTATCTTCCAGGCTAGTATAGATTTGGCAGCAATTTGAAGTAACTTGGTCCGCCTTTTCATTAATTTAAGAGACGATGCCCTGTCTCAATTGTAAGCTCGTGCGACACTTACTTTCCACAGAGCTTTCGTAGAAAGTTCTTTATAGATATGACCAACAGGACTCTTTGCTATCTCAAGAGTACAAACTATCTAGATCAACGCAATTTTACGATCAACCAAAATAATTGTATGGAGTTTTTGATGTTTTTGTACGTAACAGCCTCTTTTGGACTGTGTTCATCGTCCTCGGTGCTATAACCTTACATCTTGCGATCTCATTGTCCGGCAGTTGAAAAATTAATGCATATATTTTTTGAAAATTAATTCAAACTACAAAATATATAATACTTATGGCGCCCTCTCATGAAAATTCCATTAACTGCCTGGTAATTTAAGTACATCTCGTTAGATTGTAGTGTAGCTAAACCAACGGTTGATTAAGTATCTTAAAAAAACCTTGATTTTAAAACAATTTAATAACTCGCTTGAAAAAATAACGATATTCTTACCCACGGATTTTTGAGAACGAGCATTTTTGTGGAATTCGTTTTCGGCTATTATTGGCTAAAATTGATGAAGTAGTTAAAGAGATTAAAGTGACCTATTGCAACTCGGGAATATTTTAAGCCTTCATATAAGCCATTTCTTCTTTGATTTCGTGAAATTTTTGAAGTTTTTAAATTGTTTGAAGTATAAACAAGTATATGAGTATATCGTTCAGATTCTAACGATAAAGTTCGATACGGAAATAATTTTATATATATGTTTTGGGAGTTTTGTAACGATTTTTGAATAATTTTAAGTACACATGATTTTAAGTACACATTTTTTTGTTTACATTTTATGGGATCGATGCCCCTTTGTTTACATTTTATGAGGTCAATTACCTTATAGTTTACGTTTTTCCAACGTCAGTGACCCCTTTGTTTACATTTTATGAGGTCAATGAACCTTTTGTTTGCATTTAGCCAAGTCCAAAACCTATATTCGATTTAGCGAAGTCCACAACCATTTTTTGTCATTTAGCGAAGTCAACAACCTTTGTTTGCATTTAGGGTCAGTGACCCTTTTGTTTACATTTTATGAGGTCAATGACCCTTTTGTTTACATTATAAGGTCAATGACCTTATTGTTTACATTTTGCCAAGGTCAATGAACCCTTTGTTTACATTTTATGAGGTCAATGAACCTTTTGTTTACATTTAGCCAAGTCCACAACCTATTTTCGATTTAGCCAAGTCCACAACCTATTTTTTCATTTAGCGAAGTCAACAACCTTTGTTTACATTTAGTGTCAGTGACCCTTTTGTTTACATTTTATGGGGTCAATGACCCTTTTGTTTACATT